ATATTTCACTACAACGAGGTATTTTCCGCGATCGTTGACTATAAATTTCGAGAGACTTTCTTATGCAACAAACACACTACACACACTCGATGCGAGGTACATCAGATAATGTTGCAGGAAATTGTGTTTTCATTCCACTAATAACCTCTCAGGAAGGAAATAAGAGGAACAAGAACATGCAGTTTTGTTATTTGTGAAGGTTTTCCGGGTTTTACCTAATATCAGGAATATTTTACTATTTTAAAGTGTGCCGACTGAAGAGTTGATGCTGTATTTGTGCTGTATTTCAAAATATCCTTTAAACATTTTTTATTTGGCTAATACCCTACATTTGGTAAAAGTTTTACAAAAAGATGAAAATGTGCCATACCTCTTGTTTTCTTTTATTACGACTAGATTATGGAGTATGTAATGTAAAAAATGTTTATGACGAAACAAATGTATATCAAGAACGTATAGAATTTAAGATCATACAGGGTCAGTCAGTACCTAGTACTCCTTCAGAAGTTTTTTCCAATGCGGGAGTTATTGTGGCAACTGAAATAAATAATTATTTTTATGTAAAACAAGATGGTTTTACAGTCGATACCTTACTATACCTTTAAGCTCTTTTCCTACACTATCTAATGCCATCTGTAGTATCTTTTCCGATCTTGACGTCATAATTATAATAATTATAATTATTTTATATCACTTTTCATAAATCAAATGACAAGTTTGCAACTATCACTGTCAAATAACCTCAAAACGCAAAAGAAGCATGTGTTCACTTCACTCATTTGTAATTATTAATAATAATAATAATAATAATAGCGTTTATTGTCCAACAGTTAAATCCTAAAACAGTTGTCCTAAAGTTAAATGAAATATTAATAATTCATAGGTACTAACTAAATAACAAATTTTTCGAGTATTTTACCTTAACATAAAGAAACTACTTAATCACCTAGGTAGATCTCAGCCATCCTAGTAAGCTGCTTTAAACTGCAGTGAAATATATCGCAGTAAGCACTTAAGGAATTATAATAGTTGCACATGAGAAATAGAGGAGAATTTAACATAAGATTAGTTCTATCTTGTGTATTTCTGAACGTAATCGAATTTCTCACTGGATAAGATGGAACGTTAAAATTTATTTGTCAAAGAATATCAGGGCAGTCAATGAGATTATGTAGTAGCTTGTACAGGAATATTAGGGAGGCATTAATTCGTCTAGATTCTAATGATACTACGTCCAAACCGCTACACAACTCGCTATTGCTGATGCCCCTCCTGGGATATATGCCGTTAATTTTGAAAGACAAAATTTTTAAAAATTTACGCTGCACGTGCTCTATTATTTGGATGTGCACATCATAAAAAGGTGACCAAATGACAGAAGCATATTCCAGTTTACAGCGTACAAAAGTGTAATAAAGTAATTTAATTGCCTTAGTATTAGTGAGATTTCAACTATTTCTAATTACGAATCCATAAGATTTAAGTGCTTCTTTAACCTTTAAATTAACATGTTCAACAAAGGTCAGTTTATAATCAAATGTAACTCCAAGGTCTTTAATTTTATTCAAGCGTTCAAGTTCATTGCCATCGATAATATAAGGATGGTATATATTAGACAGTTTCCTAGAATAACTAACTACTTTGCACTTATTGGCATTAAGATTCAAATGATTTGCATTACACCATTCATGTACACGATTCAGTTCACTCTGCAGAAAATGACAATCATTAAGGTCGCTTATCAATGAATAAATCTTTAAATCATCGGCATAACATAAACATGGTGCAGAAATTGATTCACACAGATCGTTAATAAATAACAAGAACAGTAATAGAGCTAGATTAGAACCTTGTGGAACCCCTGAAGAAGCTAGGTACTTTTCCGATTTGTAACCATTATAAGCAACAAACTGCGTTCTATTTGACAAGTAAGACCTCTTAAAAAGTCACGGCATCCTCAGAAAGACCAAAGAGACCCAATTTAGAGAGTAATACGCCGTGGTGAATTCTGTCGAATGCCTTCGTAAAGTCAGTATATATGACGTCAACTTGATTTCTACTATCTAGGGCTGCTGAGATATATTGTGTGACCAATAATAAGTTTGTCACAGTGGACCGATTGGAGACAAAACCATGTTGATATTTTGACAGCTGATTACGAGTGCGTGAATAAATACGATTATACAAAACTATTTGAAAGACTTTAGATAGATTGCAAATAATGGAAATTGGTCTGTAGTTTTCTACCTGACCCTTTTCACCAGTTTTGAATATTGGGCACACTTTTGACTTCTTCCAGAGACTCGGATATTCCTTGTTAAGAAGACATAAATTAAAAATTTTTAATAGTGGCACAGTTAAGGCACCTATACAATTCTTAACCAAAAAGGATGGAATATTATCAGGTCCACACATTATTTTGTCTTTCAATTTCTTACTAGCATTATTATTGTACAAGAAACACAAAGGTACTAAGTGCTCTTCTAACCTTTGTGCTAGATTTCTACAATTTATTAGTACTTACCACTTTCTTTAGATGGCGTTAGCTAATTTAGAATTATAATTATTAGTTAGCTAGAGTGTGCATATGAAACTCCCTGCTAGTCTTCATTTTGGAATGCTTATTTTGTCAAAAAGTCACTTAACACCTGCGTGCGCTAGATCATCAAATATATACTAAAATTATCTGGATGGTGTATTATTTTCAAAAAAATTCTACATAGGATATTTGTCCATTTTTTTTCACTACAATGAACACCTCTACACGCAACTTTTTGCTGCAAACTAGCACTAGTAAGTGTTTTATCTTATTGTGTAAATTATACAATTTCACCATTTTATTAAACATTTAACTGTAATCTGCTTTTTACTATGTTCTATAAGATACATCGATCCTTCTTCTTAGGTGCAGTATATTCTGAGCTGATTTATTAAGGTATAAAAGGCTTATGTAAGTTCCTTGTCTTTGCAAAATTGAATTTATCAAACACTTTGTGAATATCTGATTCTCAGAAACGATCTAAACGCTACGGTCTCGAGAAAGGGATTTAACTATATATACAATATTGTATTTCGCAATATGACGATGGCGACGGAATATGTAGATCTGGAAATCTATAAAATGACGGGTCGTGAGTGCATACTGCTTTTAATAGAGGTGGGGTAGGTTAAAAGAATTCGTATTCTGATATTAATTTAAAGGAGATAAAGTACTTGATAATGGAAGCAGTTCAATTTTGCATAATTTTCACCAGTTTTTACCTATTTACAATTTTCTATAAGCAACATAAAACTTTACTTTACATTTTTAATATAAGTAAAATGTTTAACTAAGAATTGAGGAATTGCTGTAAGAAGGATGCAGCTTTATATTTGGTAATTGTTAAGAAATTGAAAAAAAACTATTTTTTAGTAACAGTTTTTATTTTAATCTGAAAGACATAATATCAATCAATGACAAACAGATTTAGTCAATACTTGAGACTATTTTTAACTAGATAATTTTTGAAAAAATGGGAAAAAAATGGACAAAAAACTGGACCTGCATCTTTCTTGTACCAAAAATGTAAAATAATGCTTCTTTACCATCATTTTTAAGAAACAAATTCCCAATAAAAACTATTTTATTCGGTTACAAAACTCAAACGTTCTCAAACTCAAAATGTTCTTCATAGTGACCACTTAACTTCAGGATCATATTTTTTTTACCAGAATGGAAATAAACTGTTTGGATGATTGTTTAACAAAATCAGCATAATGTTGGGGACTAAGAACGTAGTCCTTCTTCGTTAAAACATTCTCAATAACTCCAAAGCAGGGGTTTATGTTATTCATTAAGTAACATAGACTTCGCCTGATGGAACAACAAAAAATCAAATAGATCACATCCCAATAGAAACCAGACACTTTCCTAATTTAATGGATGTACGTACTTATCGTGGGCCTTATGTAGATTGAGACCCCTTCTTGGTAGGCGGAAAAATAAAAGTAAGAATTTCAAATTCAAAAAAAAATGGGAAGAAAAGCACTCACTACAATTTTAAATTCTTGAAAGAGTCTTGTATACTTGAAAGGTATCAAAATTACCTTGACAATAAAAATAGATGAAAATTTAATAGCTAGCGAGCATTGGGATACATGTAGAAGAAAAATTAAAGAAGCGGCAGATGACGTCCTAGAACCAGAATAACTCACTCTAGGCAACGCGCAACGGTTGGTTCGATAATGAATGTGAAGATATCAATAAACGAAAAACATGCGTATAAACTTAGGCAATAAAGAAAAACACGGAATAAGCAGCAAACATAAAAATCTCAGAAATGAGGAAAAACACGTGCATCGAAGAAAAAAGCTTACCTTGGGAAATTAGATCATGCAAGAACTTTAATTATTTAAAGGAAAAAATGAAACAAGAAAGTTCTGTAATATCCTAAGTGCAAATGTATTACAGTAGTTTTTTTCTTCTTCTTCCTTTCTTGGGTAATATCACAAGGGATAATTTGCCCAGCTAATTCATGGAATATATTCTCAACTTACTCTAGACAATCGAATATCCCCATATAACACTAAATTAAAATTATTTTATATGAAATTAACACTATGTTAAAACTTCTTCTTCTTGGGCCAAACAGCTAGAATATTCAAGACAGTACAACACAGGATAAAACTTTTCTCGCTGGGGGGTAGCAACCAAGCTAAACACATACCAGAAGTGCTACCAACGGATGATAGTCAGAGAACCCAGGTATAAAAAAGAGAGGAATTTGTAAAGTTATTGCAGTAGTCAGTCCATCTTGTATTATATGTCTATGGTTCTATATACTGGTCTTTAAATTTTTAGTTAACGGATAAATTGTTTTTTGTTAGCGCAGGAATAGAGGTCAATAAATTTAGACAAAGAAAGCAAAAATGTGTCCGTAATAGCAGTAATATAGTGAATCAGATCTATATGTCAAATATGACATTCGAGTCGTGTTATTTTTTGATTTGTAATAACAAAAATGCAATTTCAAATACTACACAATACATTTATCCTTATGTTTGTATTGATTGAAGTAAGAAACACCAACAGCAGTAGTAAAGAAAACATAAAAGCTAAGAACGAAAACATAGAACAGTCTTCTATTGCTAATAAATATGGTAATAATACTACACACATAAATACAGAAACTACAACCAAAGATGACATGAAATTGCTTTTAGAAAAACTTCAAAATATTGCTTATTACCTACGTAATTATAAGTTTAATGAATACGATAGAAGATACGAGACTGACCCAACTAATGCTAGCAGGTATAAGTTATCACATTATATTCCATTTAAAAAAGTCTGCTTCTAATGCTATCTTTTGTAGAGTTTTACTTTTTTAAGTAATTTTTTCTTTGTCGCTTTCAGTCTTAAGATTATATCTTTTGAATCTGGTTGGCAGAGCCAAGTTGCACACGAAAGATAAGTACTGTAGTTTAAGAGGCTATAACGTACCTTTTCTATGAATATTGTCAATAAGGTCTCTATTTTAAAGCCTATTTGATACAACATAGCTAGTTACTATATATTGTTAAATATTCTTTTTTAAACTTTAAAATCCCATTTTAGTCCAATATAAACATCCAAGAGTTGTTCCATAGAAGATACATTTTGAAATTTTTAAGTGTAATTTTCAAGTTCTATTAAGAAAAGAAGATTTATAACTCTTTTTTTCTTCTTAGATATAACTGAGTAATAAATTCTTTGAACCAGTTTAACCCAAATATTACGCCACAAAGAAATATTTCAATTCTTAAAGATCATATCGCAATTATAGTTTAGAGTTTATCAAATCATAGAGTCATAGATAGTTTATCAAATTCCTCTTTTGTTTTAGTTTATATTTTATTTGTAAGTTTTATTCTCTTATGGCACTAAATATGTTAAGATAATGTAATAAAGCACGAGAAAGAAAATATTGCATTGATCACTGTTTATTAGATTGTTGCGTCCATAAATATTTTAATCAAGATTTATAAATTTAACCAATTTTTGAATAATTTTTGTTTAAGGCCTTATTATAAATTCTTCCCCAAACCTCCACTTCGTTCCCTTCATTGGGAAGTTCATCAGTACTGTGAACCTTCATTTCGTGATTGTGTCGAATACTTGTCGAAAAAACTACAGTATGTTGCTCTAAGGCGATCCGACGATACAACTGTTGTGATGCTCGAGCAAAGATGGTCGTGGAGGAAAAACGAACAACAGATAGTACAAGTGGATGCTGAGTGTTTAAGGAACAAGCGTCTAGATGATACAGTTGCAGATCCTTTTGAAGGTATTATTAGTAGTGGTGTAGATAATTTACCAATATTTTTAGTTTCGAATTCCATTATTATTTTTTTTTTCAAAATATGTTTTAGAAAGTGTGCTTACATTATGCTTTGAAAACTATCCAATTTTGGAGAAAAAAGTGATTACTCCTCGTATATTTTTTATTTAGTTGTTTAATTTAAAAAAAAATTTAAACTCAACTTGTTAATTCTAATTAATGATACCAAATCATCTTCGATTGCTAATTTATACATTCAGTCATTGCTCAGCCGGATAGTAAAATGATTTCCGTTGCTTAGGCCCTCTGGAAAGATACCAATGGAGAGTAACAGCAAGTTATTATATGTGCTGGTATACTCTATTAAAGACACCGGAAATGAGACGTCTCTACGAGAAATGTGATAATTTTGCCAGCTGTCTGGATTATGATTACGGGGCAAGAAATGACGATGATAGAGTGGAGGATTGGAGACCTTTTAGGTAATTTATATTCAGTTTTAATGCAGTTTATATATATATATATATATATATGCTAATATATATATATATATATATATATATATATATATATATAAATATTAATTTGATATTCAAAGTTTGAGGTGCGCCAAGCCATTAATTAGCTAATTAATTAATCAATTAAACTTATTTAAATGATGCAATTATGATTCTATCACACTATTTAATTCTCTTATCTCAGGGTTATACTCGTGCTTTAATATCTATGCCTTAGATATTATAGGTAAGATCCAAATAATACCGGAATAATAAAAAACATATATGATAGAACATTATATATTTAAATAAAAATATATTGAAATAAAATTCACACTCAAATATCTTCAATAAAAATATCTCATATACTGATTATCAAAATTTTGTTCTACGTACGTGAACCTTCAAAAAATTAATGGTACATACAATATAAATTAAAATCTTAATTCAAAATGGTTGTTCTAAATTTTTTGATCAAAATATTCCTATCTTTTCTAAAGCAATTGTAAAAAAAATGTGTTGTTAATAAAGAAAAACTAATGAATAGTAAAACTATCTCTCTGATAATGAGTTCTAGTCCAAATCCTTGTTCCTTGTAGCCTACACTATCTATTCTTAGCAATCCCCTAGATAATCAGCAATCTTACAACAAATTGTTGCGAGCCTATCGTCTTTAATAATCTCATTCAAATGCACGTGTCGTTCAAATTATGCTAGCCACTTCTCCTCTCGATAAACTGAATCTCTCGTTCTGGCCTGAACAGTGACTATTGGAATATAAGTAGAAAAATATAACTTACAATATTTTACTGGATCAGCTTCTGTCAGATATACTCACTCCACGCAAACTCACAAACATTCACTTCTATTGCTTGCTATCTCTGGAGAACTACCAGAGAACAACGACTTTTCGCCTTGCACCCTTGGAAACCAACTGATTATCTTTGTTTCCTCAAAAATCTAGCTAAACTCTCCTTCTTACATAACTATCCCACATTTTTCAATCTCCTCCAATCAAACATTTGTTACAAACAAACAACAATTTTACCTACAGTTATAAATTTCCTAAAAACGATTAACATGCCAATAGGTTTTTACAAATTCTTAAGAACTAACGGAAACAATTACTGTACAAGTCCATTTGGAAAACCCGCTTACATTGTTCATGATTTCACTTAAGCTCACTCCTGTTACTTGAATATATTTTACAAAGAAAATAATTTATGCATATCTTTAAAATTTTGTTTACTACAGGTAATCCAGGATAATGGACTTTCATTTCTTCGAAATATCTTTTATAGTTTATTATTATTATATATTATTTATTTGAATTATTAACCAATATTATTTTCAATTTTACATAGCATAACATTATTTTCACTTAATCGACTAGTACCAAATATACTATACACCTGTTTGTTTATTATAGGATGTACTTTTGTTGTCCACTGCTACCAATCCTTGGCATTTTTTCCAGGAATACCAAACACCTTTTATATTTCTTATTTGACAACTCCGCTAACTTTCACTGGAGGATATGGAACAAAACATCTTGCTTCTTTCGACATTCAAGTCACCTTAATCCCTTCTTCTCCTTTTCACCAATTAAACACATACATCCTACATACCACGCCATTTATTTCGACCAATCAAATTCTGTGACTTTTCAAACACAATCTCAATGCTTTTATGAGAATACATAACCATGGTATTTACAAATTTTACATAAATAAGATCCTTTCTTTCTTTATAAGTTTCTAGAGACAATACAGCCAATACAACTTCGTAAATTTTGCTTATTAAAAAATGTGCAATACTTTTTTTTAAAAGATTTTTGCTTATTTTAGTTGCGCTTTGTACAGCTTTTGCCCAGATCCTTGTTGTCCCTTTAAACATTTAACAAGTCTCAAAGATTGTTGGGAATCTCCAGAAAATCCATGTTATCGACTCAACCCGAAGAAGAAGAGAACCTGTGAGTTTAATATGACGGCTAATACAAACTTTAAGTGAGTTCTCTAATAGTATATAATCAATATTAATAACATTATATTTGAACGGTTTGTGAAGTTTTTAATTTCATGGAAAAATATTTATTAGACCATGTAATTTTACCATTTTTAGAAACCTACTAAATTCCCACTTTTAAAATCACTTGTCACAATGAGTGTTTTTATTTCTTCACAAGGAGCATCTTGTATTCTTCTTCTTTAAGTTCCGTCTTATATCGAAGGTTGGAAATTATCATGTTATTCGGAACCTGTTGACTGTTCGCTGACCTTAAATCACGACAACAAAGAAACTTTTTTGCTCTCTTTTCTGTTTTTGGTGGCATAGATGACTTCTTCCTGTATCCTATGTAGTTTCTAACGATGGTTGTTAATGGACGCTGTCATGAGTACTAACTGAAGATAAATTTAAAGAAAACTAAATGCATGATCATGACTAAATCTGCACATGCAAATATCCAATTGACTATTGAAGATACTGCAATTAAGAGTGTGAATAACTATAAATACTTAAGAACATGGATAACATCAGATGTAGACCAAACCAAAGAAATTAAGACACGTATTGAAATAGCACGTGCTTCATTCATTAAACTTAAAAAGTTTCTTTGTTGTCGGGATATAAGGTTAGAACTACGCCTGAGAATGCTTCAATGTTACGTGTCCTTTACTCTTCTTTATGACTTGAAAGCGTGGACACTAAAACAAGTCCATCTGAATAAGTTGGCTGCCTTTGAATTTTGGTGTTACAGAAGAATCCTACGAATATCATGAATACACAGAATGTCAAACGTGGAAGTAATAATAGAAGGATAAGAAATGAGGCGGAAATAATATGAACTATTAAACAAAAACTTGAGTACTTAGGACATGTGATAAGAGGGCAAAAATACGCACTATTACAACTTATTATGCAAGGAAAAATCCGAGGAAAGCAAAATGTGGAAGAAGAAGAATATCCTGGCTTAAGAACTTAAGGGAATGGTTTGAACGCAGTAGTGCAGAACTTTTTAGAGCGGCAGTCAACAGAGTCCGCATAACCATGATGATTTCCAACCATCTATAGAAGATGTAACTTAAAGAAGAAAAGAAGTGACACAATCTTTCCTCCATATCAGTAATAATATTTCCTTTAATATTTTTAGGGATATTCGTTCATATGCTTTTTCTAGAACCTTCATTTCGTTGATTTTTTTTGTGTTAATTAAGATATTAAGATTTACCTTTTGTACAGATCTTCTCTTTCTTTGCATTTGTCGAAGAGATACCTCTCTTTTGCCTTCTGAATTTTCTTTACGATGTTTTTCTGAATTTCTTTGTATTTAGTTAGTTCTTTTGCTTAATGTTTTCTTTGTTCTACCATAAGTTCAAAAAGTTCTACTGTCATTCAAGGTTTTGTTTGTTCTCCAAGTGGTTTAGGTGTTTCTTTTTCAACCATTTTTGGTCAATAGTTAGAGTGTCTGCATGATCTTCTTTGTTTGAACCGCCTTGTATCCATGATTATCATGGAGCTAGGCTGCTTTACATTCTTAAGTTTTACTCTTATCGAGAAAACAAGAGGATTGTGATCGGAGAATGTCCGCTCTTGGATAAGTTTTGAATGATATTATAGAATTTCTATATCTTCTGTTGACGATAATAATAACCTATTTGATTTCTGATTATTTTGTTGTTATTGTCTTGCACTTATTGTATTTTTACCATCTTGTAGTGGTGCAGAATTATTAGCAAATAATCTCTTAATCTTATTTGATTAATATTTTCATTGACGTACTGAAAAACTTCATGATTTAAATAATAATTTTTGCTTGTAACTATTTCTTTAACTATTTCTGTCAGACATATTTTTACACTCTGTTATTTATACTACAGAATGACCAAATTAAAGTTTCTAATTATAAAAATATTTTTTTTATCTCAAATTAATAAGTACAAATATAAAACTTCGCGTTCCAACGAAAATAGACCAAACCCTGAACGAAATCTTTTCTATTTCATCAACGGCTTAATCAAGAGAGTAATTCGAGGCAATTTTCAGCGATATTATTCTGAATAGATGGAACGTTAGCTGTGGATGTCCCCGAGAAGGCTACGAATGGAATTCGCTTTACGGAATTTGTATAGACATGGATGAATGCGCATCGAAAACTCATAACTGCCACCGGGACTCCGAGAGTTGCCTTAATTTGCCGGGGAGTTTTAGGTGAGTAAGTGGGAAAGGGATAGATAATGTGATTAAGGTAGGTAGTAGAAGAAGGATGGTTTGGTAGGACAACGTGTTTTAGCGCATTCTTTTGTCGGGTTTAATGTAGAATGTGTAATAAAAAAGGTGCATTTATATAAAAAGACTATTAGGCAAAAGTGACCTTATAAGCACATATATTTATGTAATAATCATACTTTTTGTTAGGGATATGTGCTATATATATTGTTATTTTATATCTTACTTGAAGATAATTTTTTACTACCAAAATCCTAAAACCTATTTAACCAGTTATCGATGATTATAAAAAATATCAAATCGATTATTTCAGCTAAAGCCTTAATTCCTTTATACCCCTCAAACCTCTCCATTGCCTACTTCTTTTTACCCACTTTTTATTAATTACTATTTAACTAGGAATAAGCCACAATTAAAGATAAAAATACGTTTATTGACGTTTCAATTTTCATTGAACATAGGGTTCAATGGAATAATTCAAATGTAGTCCTAAAAGAAATAGATGGTAAAAAAAGAAGAATCAAAGAAGCGGCTCTAATTATGCTAAGTGAGGCCAATTGTGTCGCAAATTCCTCGGCAGAATGTAGTAGGATCTGGTTACCAATATTGAAAGAGGAAGTTATTAATAAGAAAATACCAGTATTAGTAAGTCAGTAACATATAGAGGATACATCATTTATGTTTTTTAAATAACGAAACATATAAAATCAGAATTTTGATGTTTGTTGAAGGTAAACTAAATGCACGAACAAATACTTACCATGTCGGGATAGTATTATGAGTTTTTTTTTCCTGGTTTTTCCCTCATAATTTACTATGGAATCACTAACAGAAGAATTTTACTGTCATCATGTCATGTGTTTGTCTTTTTAAAGACGAATTACATGCTATGATTTTTTTCTGACGGATATTCTCAAGTTAAAGTTGATTTCATGTAATCGAATGAACTATCTTATAAGTAAAGTCGTCTCAGGAGCGCAACTCAACAATATTGGCAATATCATTTTAAAGTCGTCTACTTTAAAATGCATAATGTATGTCTGAATTGTCAATATAAATGAGTCAGATAAAATTAAATTATTAGCAGAATTTTTCACTATGTAACAAAAACCAAAATTTGTTTAATTTACTGTTTGTATTTTGAGAACGATTTCCGAAGTGGAAATTGAAACGTCAATAAACGTATTTTTATCTTTAATTGTGGCTTATTCTCAGTTAAATAGTAATTAATTTAAAATGCCACAAGAAAATAGCTTCAGAACAATACTTTTTATTATACTGAATCTGTTTATCTTAATTGATATTTACTTTTCTTCATTTTGTTCTATTAGCTATGATATTCAGATATGTTTATTTATAGGTGCATTTGCAAATGGGGCTTCATTAAAGATGTGCAAACAGCAAATTGTCTTCCTAGCAACGCCTTGTCAGCCATAAAACTCAGCAAAAGAAAACAGTTACAAAAAATAGAAGAACTAACTATTTGGCAACGTGTTAAGAATATTATACTATTTAAAAAAAGTAGTGGTCAATGGATTAAATCGCAAATTGGTTTAATATTATTAATTATTTTAAATGCAATTTGTAATATTAATTAATGTTTTGGATTCACACTCATTCTCATAAAAAAGTACCTTTTGGTCATTATAACCGTTACGTTATTAAGATATTTTTAATAAGAAAAGTATTCCAATATTTACAAATATTTAGTAAAAATAGAAATACTTATTTTGTATATTGTCTTAATTTAGCTGTTAGGTAGGTGTGTGATTTTTAAATTATGGAATTCTGTAGATGCTTAAAACTTATTATTTGTTATATCCTGAGCATTGGTTTACAGCAGTAAAACAGTAATGAACTGTTCACATGGGAAAGTGTGTCCGATACCCGTCGGGCGAAAGGAATCCGGTTCCTATTCCGGAACCCGGCAGCGGAACCCAAAATCCTCACAAGAGAGTCCGTCGGGGTAACCCAAAAGGACCTGGAGACGCCGTCGAGAGATCCGGGACGAGTTTCCTTTTCTGTATAAGTGTTCGAGTTCCATGAAATCCTCTAGCAGAAGGACGCGAAGAGCCGATGTCTGGATCTTCCCCTCGGACCTTGAAAATCCAGGAGAGGGCCACGTAGAGGGTGAGCAGTCCAAGGTGAAGAGCCTCTAGTCGATAGAATAATGTAGATAAGAAAAGTCGGCGAATTGGATCCGTAACTTCGTGATAAGCATTGGCTTTGAGGATCGGTGTGTGTCGTGCTTGGCAAGGAAGCGGGTCACGGCTGACGGGCTGGGCCTGGACGAGGTGAAGTGGTCCTAATTCTTACAAGTTGGGTTTCATGGATCCGAGACAATTTACATCATTACAGAGTAGTAAGTAAGTATTAAATGTGTTAGATGTTTTAGACTTGAAGAAGAGACATCCAGTGATGTCTCATATTACTCTATTTTGGTTTAGTTTTGAAGTAGGGCTTGGGACAAGGTTCTATCTAGTTTTCTTGTGGCTGGACCATACTTGACTAATTCCCCTACTAGCTCATTTTCATTTTCGGTAAATTCTACGTTCATTTTGTGACTCTGCGGCTCAAAGAATTTCTTCTCTGATGAAAGAAATCTTTAAGTTGTAGTGAAGTGTTTGATTACTTACGTACCATGGTGCTTCTAATACCGATCTTAGCACTTTAGACTGAAATCTTTGGATAATATTCAGCGATGTTGGCTTTTCACAGTCACATAGGTATAGTCCGTAGAACCAGATAGGTTTAAGTATAGCTTTGTACTTGTTTTGGATGTTACGAAGTTTTGATTTACGTACAAGCAGCCAATACATTTGCCGGAATTTTAAGTCGAGCTGTCTTTTTTGGTCTGGATATATTCCTTCCCAGTAAGATGTTGGTCAAGATGGAGGCTAAGGTATCTAGCGTCTGTTTCTGTTGGTATTCTTACAAAGTCTATTCATACAGGTGGGTATATGTTGTGAAGGTTGGTAAATGTTATTTGAGTTGGTTTTGTTCTATTAACTTTTGTTCTTCAATCACTATGTATGTTCAGATAATGTTTCGGGTTTTGTGAGGCTTAAATGTGATCTTTATTTACAGCTAGTATTGCTGCGTCGCCAGCAAAGAAAGCGATTGTAGTATTATTAGTTTCTGGTATATCGGATGTAGCTGGATTGTTGGTCTTTGAATTTTACAGAGGAATATCGATTTGATTTGTTGGACTTGAATTGGAGGAACTAGTTACCAAATGGTGCTGTTTTTATTTTTTAAAGCAGATCTCTGTGCCAGACTTTGTCAAACGCTTGTGAGATGTCTAGAAATATAGCGTTGTAGTATTTTTTTTTTCTTCAAGAATTTTTGATATTTATTTTATTATTTGATGGACTTTTTGGGTAGTGGAGTGATTTTCCTGAAAATCATACTGATGTTTTCGAAGTAATGTTAGAAAATCATAATCTGCATATATGCTTTGCAAAAGCAATCTTTAAAAACATTGCTTACGGTTGAGAGTTGGCTGATGTGTAGATAATATGTTACTTCATTGAGCTTTTTCACTGGCTTTAGGATCGTAAAGATTTCAGCAAATTTTCATATTTTTGGAAAGTAAGATAAGCTTAGTATGCTGTTAAATATAACTGTTAGCAAAGTAATGGTCTCGCGAGGAAGTTGTTTTAGTACATGAACTTGCCTTTCGTGAGTTGAGTTTTTTCTTGATTTCTATAGAAGTAAAACTATTAATTGCGAGGGATATTTGACATGTTGTGCTAATTAGTTCTTCTACTTCTTTATTTCGGTCTGATGGCTCTGTTTGTGAGATGTTCAGCACAGGCGCTTTTCTTTGTTGGAACAGGCCCATTTGCCTTTTGCCATTTGGTTTACGGATAAGAGGGATATTTTTGTATAGTTTCTCAAGCTTCTTATTCGCCTTCCATAATGTTCTGTCATTTGCTGTAAGGTTTGTAATGTAATGTTCGAAGGTTTTGTTGTTTGCGGCTTTAATAGCTACTCCAAGTTGCCTACGTAGTCTATCGAATATAAGTAGATGTACGTTGTTTCTAAATCTTTGCCAGGTTCTCCTCGCACGACGTCTTTCAGCAATGAGTTGGCGAATGTGCAGGGGAATTTTGTAGTATGTGTTTGCATTAGTCTTGGTGGATTCCATGCCACTTTTTGCACAAGTGTGGTGAAGAGCATTTTTACAAAACATTTGTATTTGTTAAACCTATTTTTGATGAAAAACTGGATTTAACAATTGAGTTAGTTTTTTGTATAAAAACAACGTCTAAATAATGAACACATTTCATCTTTAAATATTCCTTAAATTTAACTGATGTTTTTTCTTAATTTTTTTTATATTCCATTGTATAAGAAATCTGGAATCAAACATTTTATCTAATTAACATAAATATTATTACCTTTTAGTAATATTATATTAAATTTTCCTAACAGCTTAATAACTCAAAAGCTTGTATGTGGGACTTGAAGCGACTTTACGTCTAATCTAATAAACAGCGAACAGGATCAAAGGGGTTGGTATTTTGTAGCTCCTCCAAATTATTTACAAAATTTCATTATTGTGTAAAATAGGTAAAAATTAAGAAGTAGAGAAGAGAAAATTTGTAAAACTAAAATTGTGGAAAGAGATAATTACAAGGAATAAGTGAATAGAATAAAATTGATGAACATAATCACCAATAGCATAAGAAGATATAAAGATAGATATAAAAACAAGTCTAATTAACTAACATCGATCTTGAAGTATTTCTGGTGTTTTATTTATTATTAGCATAAGTAAAATACAAAAAGTGATAAAGACATACAAAGGCATATACAAAATTACAATTACGTAATAATGTATACAATATACATTTTAATTACATAGGCCAACGAAAAAGAAGATTTAAAAAACTTTTCTTATAAATTTATGTGAATCCTATGTATGTTTTTGGCGCTAAAAAAGAATCTGAAATTAGATTTTATGTATCACCCACAGTTTTCCCACAATATGGCGCTGGCTTATTCTAAAATATAATAATTTAAATTACACAAAATACCGGAATACATTAAAATGATACATTATTAGAATAATGCCTTTTTCTAATGTTTATCTTCTCACAGTATAGGTCTGTAGAAGCATTTCAGGAGTCAATGCTTTGTATTTTCATTTTCTTTTTTTTTCTGTAAAACTTCTCAAGTAGCTTTCTCTCCTATGCGAGGCACTCTGTTGTTCCCGATGAAGTGACCAACAGTAATCACCCATCATTTTGGTGTTCCAACATCCCTCGTATGGTTGCTCCATCACCTTGATATCCTGGTAGAAGCGTTCGCCTCATTATTCACTGACTGCAGCCAGATTCTCAAGGAAATGATCAAGATGGTTATGCAAAAGTTGGATTTTGAGGCTCATTCGACATCCCAAATCTTAAATCTTATCTAAAATCTTAAAAAACTTATCTAATAAATTAGCTACTATAAGCTCGTAATTAGGTCTTTCATATTACCAAAAAACTTAGTTAAACTTTTTGGAATCCAATCCAGCTTCTTTTTTCTTAATAGTAATCTTGGCTTCAAAGGTAATTATGCAATTTTAAATGTTAAATTGTGAAAGAATGGTGGATGATACAGCATGTTTAACATGATTTTCGAAACTGAGCACACCAAAATGCATAAGATAGAGGTAATTTTATCAAAAAGTTTTTTCATCGTTGGCCTGTGTTATTGATGTATTGTATTAAATTTTATTTAAAAAGTTTATAGATTTTAAGAATTCTATCAAGTCAGCTACGTATTTAGATTCTCCTAAAGTTCTTTTAATGTATTCTGTCAACTGAGTATATTGGACAGTCGATCAAATATGCTCCACTGTCATTTTACATTCACAAACAGAACACACTGGGTCCTCTTCTCTCTTCAACGAGTATTAATGTATTGTAGAAGTGTGTCCTAATCTAAGACGTGTCATTAGGACTTGATGTTGTCGCTTTGAAGGCCAGAAATTCCATGGAAGGGCGAAAGATTTGCATTCGTGAGAGAGATTTGTCTATAGGATTCTACTTCAAATTGAAGTTTACCTGGTTTGTGTATTGGAACTATGATTAATGAGTGCCATATGTGTAGAAATACCTTCTTGGCCTACTTGTGGTAGATTATGTAGAAAAAGCATAGGTATATTATCTGGTCCTGGACTGGTATTTCTAACGGAGTTAAGGGTTTTAATAAGTTCAGTCAAGCTTATATGATTGTTTGTTGGTGAAGTGTCACTGATTAATAGTATTCATTTATTTTCATGAAATCATTATTGCTAGCTTTTATTACTAAAAGCGGAACAATATTGATTTGCCATTATTTCAGATATACTGCATTCGGACGTAAATGTCTGATTGTCTTTTATTAAGTACTTTATAGGGTGTTGTGAATTTTTTCCACATATACTTCTACTCATGTTCCAAATTTGATCAATTGGAGTAGATCTATTAATTTCTGAAACAAACTTTTGCCAGGACTCTTGCTTGCTTTTTTTAATAATAAATCTGCATTTAGCTTTTATTCTTTTAAAATACAGTAGGTTTATATCGTTTATATCTATTAAAGGCCGATTTAGATTTCCTTA